AAAAAAAAAAAAACCTTGGCAGTAACTATTGTCGGCAAGAGAGAAAACGACGGGGGGACCAACATTTTACATCTTCCAATGAGGAGAAAATGCTTTGTTTACAGCTATTGGGGGAATTCCCCTCACTTTGTAGAGATTTGTTCTCACTTCCTTTTGTGTCTCCAGGACAGGAAGTGAAGGGAAATCTCCCCTGCAGCACACAACAAAAATATATTGACAGGTGTTTTAACCCTTACTGAAAAAAAATGAAAAAATAAGCTTTGGCTGTACATACACTTAGATCTATTTCATGTTATGGAGAAGGCAATAAGGAGAGGGAATGACGCCTTAATAGCAGGGTGAGTGAGAATGTGAGGCGGGCACGATGACGGAAGTATCATGTAACAAGGAACATTCAGTTTTAAAGGGGCAGTCCACCTAAAAGAATTCCATAAAAAGGAAATATTGACCTTTATACAAGAGTCATGTGTATTCTTCCATGGTGAATCTTGGGGAGCTTTGTGTATTTCTTCCAGATCTGTGTGAAACTTGGAGCTTCCAGTAATAAAGACCGCTCATTGCTGATCTCTCTCTTTGTACAGGGTGACTGGTCTTGTCTCCACCCCCTCCTGTAATAAAGACCAGTCTGACCTTGTGCAAGGTGACTGGTCTTGTCTCTGCCCCCTCCTGTAGTAAAGACCAGTCACTGCTGCTCTGTCCTTGTGCAAGCTGCTCTAGTCTCCGCCCCCTCCTCTAATATAGACCGGTCACTGCTGCTCTCTGTCCTTGTGTAGGGTGATTGGTCTTGTTTCCGCCCCTTCCTGTAATAAAGACCGGTCACTACTGTTCTCTCTCCTTGTGCAGGGTGACTGATTTGTAGTAGGTGGGGCCTGCTGGGTCCCTCGCAGAGCTCCCTGCATAGACTATGTACTGCACACTGATGATGTCATTGCTACATTTAGAAATGCACACGACATATATTATTCTATTGTTTGTGTCATTAAGGAATAACTTTGTTCCCGGAGTTCAAGAACAATTTGGCCATATCGGTACAAGCTGTTTAGCGCGCCGTTCTCTGGTTTATGGCTTAGCAATGTGCACCCAGGGAAAGGTTAAAACCAAAAGGGAGATGTAGCATTTAGCAGAACAGAATCCTCCGCTGTTAGATACCCCCGGGGAGAGACAGACGCTCGCCCTTCCAAGCTCCGCGCACTTTGCGTCCTCCTGAAATCCGCTGTCATTCCAGGCTGCACACGAGCCTTCTTTTTTTTTTCTTCTTCTGTGGCTGACAATTCCCAGTCCAAGCTTCTTAGCTCTCTCACATCCACCTGCGCCGTCTCAGCCGCTGATTGCTCTGACGGCGGAGTCGTCTTTAAATGACCTACTTTACTCAATCACTCCAGAAATCAATTTTAAAAGTCGCGTAATAGCCTACTTTCATAGGCAGATCTTACGCCAGTCAAATGGAAACATCATTACGGCTTATTCTCTTTTCACCGGGAATATTGGAGCAAATTCCTTCTCTTTCATTCTACAGCTGAAGATTAGTCTGCTCATATTTTGCCTTCGCTGGATCCCCTATACCCCATCAACATGTGCGGTGGGCGCACAAAGAATAAGCACCATAGTGAACAAACACAAAAAAGTGCACTAGGGTCTCATGGTCCATCTCCCGAAGAGATAGTGCCCATTCCCTGACCCCCTGGGGAGCAAGGCTCCTGACCAGGGCAAGGCACTCGGGTCCCCCTAGTGGAAGGGAAGAGGACCCATTCCCCTGGGTCAGCCGAAGCCGGCCACTGAGTACTAGGTTGGGGGCTTCTCCGAAGAGAGACCCCCGATTTCAGGGGAGGAAGAAACCTGATGGCCGCACATCCTTCCCCTAGACTTCTGGGCAGGCCTGAGGACCCGCACCCATCATCCTTGTGGGTTGAAAAATACACACATAAGTGCACAAACAGTGGAGAAAAATAAATAAGTGCCAAAGTGCAAGACTATGGCTAGGCCTTGCGGCCCAGTATATAAATTATCCATGGTCTTAGCCAAAAGGCCTAGCCCAAGAGGCATGGTGTCATGGCCTTAGTGCCTTTTACACAGCAGGGTCCCAAACCCATAGTGTTAGACCCATTCAAATCAGGAGGTACTGGGACTCCCCATATTCCAGACATTAGGTTAAGTACTCCTGACCCCACACTCACTCTCCGTTTCCTTCCCACAGCCAGAACTCTTTGGGACCCCCATCAGCTTAGGCATGGTACAACCTCTCCAGTATTCTGCAAGAGAATGAAGGTTGTAGCTGAGCGCCCTCGATAATCCATCAGACCTTAGTCTCCTGCCTGGATAATCCACCGGACCTTTATGGTCCCGTCCTGCCTGGATAATCCAACAGACTTTAGGCTCCAGTCTAGATAATCCCACGGACCTTAGGCTCCTGTCTTGATAATCCACCGGACCTTAGGCTCCTGTCTGGATAATCTACCGGACCTTAGGCTCCTGGCTTTGTTGCACTGTGGGTGCTCCAGCTCAGGAGGCGAGGCCTAAACCAGGGAACACAGCAGCTGGCATTTTCACATGCTCATATTTGGGCTCATTGAGAAGGTGGGATATAACAATAGGCACTTCGCTTGCAGGGCAACAAGTAAATTCCCTGCTTGAGGCACCCGGGTCATCAGACTGGGTTCAGATGCCCAATTTCCATGTTTCACTGGAGCGTATTTTCAATCAGGATTCCTTCCAGAAAGCAGGGACGAGGATTTCCAGTAAATCTGGGAATTATAATGACAATAAGCTGAAAATGGAAGGGTGATAAGGCTGATATAGTAATCTCGGAGTAAGCGGTGGAGGAGCCAAAGACGATTCATCACTCCGGATTATGATGCGATGGCCATTTTGTCATTCTCTTCATCAGGACTCGGGACGAGGATCTGGGGAGGAATATCGCACCGCACACGCAATATTACACCGCGATGTATCACTATTATGTGCCTGTCTGTCGCATTAAATCACAGCTGCCATCTGTGCTGCCACCGTCGAAAACCGCCGCCACTTTTCCTGCCGTCCGTCACGCTTTAATTGGGATTTGAAAGGTCATGTTGTGACACCCG